GAGATCTTGGAACAGTGTGAATGGAATGGTACAAATTCTCTAACTTACCGTCAGTCTGTGCATGTTTGCTACAAGAAGCTTCAGACTTTAGTTCATCTCTAACGCATTTACATTACCTAACCGCTATGTTTTCTCTTTCCTCCTTTTTTACTGATGCGTCTGAATGTTTAAAGAGTTGAAAAAGCCTGAAGTCATATATTACATCAAAAGAGAAGGTTAAAAAATCATACTTTTTGCTGTTGAGTTTCAAGCACTGAAAACGCAAAAAAGTACATTCAATGATGTTGAGAGATGCTTCTTAATGCTTTAGTACTTTTTACATCTTGTTAGTTATCGCAGAATTCCGCGTTTGTGGCAGACGACGTTCTCTCGCGATCCCCCTTGATTGCGCTGTGCTTGCGTCTTGGTGTCTGTCATCAAATTTGATTCTCTTGCAAATCGGGGGAGAGCAGTTCATCCGCAAATTATGATTGTAGTCTAATCCGCAAATTTTTTGAGAGCTTATGACGCTGGCGTCCCTTATTCGATTTTTGGCTTGCCGCCTGCGACGCAATAAAAGCCTATAAAGATGACAGGCAAAGTTGAAAAAGGGGATCGAATATGTTTTGGTAGAAAGATTGGTTCTTTATGATGCTGAAGATCTACCGCTCATATCTCCTTCCCCATTGTTACTTCTTCTCATTTTTTTAATCTAGTCATCTTTCCTTATAGATTAGTGCTGCAACGTTTACACGTTCGAGAAATCCTACTAAGAACTAAAGTGAGTGGAGGAGTTTATGTTGAGAGTGCAGAGCTGCTCGCAGAATACATTCCATTGCGGAGGGGAGGGGCAGGGCAGGGAAGGTCCAATATTTGAAGGTGGACGGACGAGGCGATAGGTGTTATTTTCAACGGGAAACTTGAAAAGTTGGCTCGCCTCTAATCCTTACTGCGAAACAAGAACTGATTTCTCCTTTTTTATTATATTATTTTTAATTTATCTTTTTTTACAAGATTTCTTCGGCGTTGCATATAGCTTT